CCTAACCCACAATTTTTTTTGTTTGTACTTAGCTTCTTAAAATAGTTTCAAATGTAATAAATTTTAAAGTAAAGGTCGCTTTATTCCTTAATTTGATGGTACGTTATGTACCACGGATCACATTTGAGACTCTTATAAGTAGGCAAGTACAAAAAAATAAATTTTGGGTTAGGCCACTTCTGTTCTCATGGCCTCATATATAAATTCGCCTTGTTTACAACCTTTAAATTTGTCTGACATCTTGTATGTAAGGCTTATAAATAATGGTCGAAATGAAATTGACTCTAGAGTTAGCTGCAGATTTTTTCACAGACTTTATTTTGACGAATATTTTTAAAGAATTTTTCGATTTATATGGCCTTTTAAATACTAAGGTATGAATATACAAATATGTATTAATTATGCGCCATGTTATTATTTATATTATATACATATTTGATTAGACAGAAACTTTGCCGAATTGCATTCATTTGCAAAATGTATTCAACTGAAAAGCGACTCTGTGTTTCAATAGCGTTTTTTTAGCGTTGTGGTAACACTGAGTGTGCTTCACTCATTTTGATTTTTTCGTGCAACTACTGAAAATCTTTTAGCTGCGGCAATTTAATTAAAGTTTTCATAAAATGAAAGTGACTGTCTTAAATTAAAAGGGGTTTAGTTACAATTTTCAGCTAAAATATACATAAATGCTTATGCTGACTGGTGAACACAACTAAAGCTTATTAGTGTGCACAATCCTTCAGAGCCTTGAAGAATAACCTGGGTTATGTGAGCTTGATCGCTCAGCCAACCAAACCACATCGAACAAAGGTTTAGTGATTGTTATTTATTACCAAAATTCAATGTAAGTACGAATATTTATTTTGTGAAAAGAAGCAATTTTGTCACCAATTCATATGTATGTATATGCATGTAGTTATGTACGTAGATACGTACCGCAGCCGCTAGAAAACCATACAAAATGAGAAGAAGTGAGGTTTGGAAGTTTTTTAATGAAAAAAATGAAAAGGAGGCCAGCTGCAAAATTTGTTTCAAAACTATTCAGCGCTCGGGAAACACAACAAATTTACAAAAACATGTTCGCACGCATCCAGAGTTGTAAGTGGTTTCCTTGGTAAACAAATTAATATACATAATTGGTTATTTTCTAGTGCTAAAAGTGACATTCAAAATGATGGGCAAAAGAAGCTGCCTGGTTGCAGTTCAGCGGTAGAGGTCCAAAGCAAAATTACTTCTCCCAGTGCTAATAGTGATTCAAGCGGGCGTCAAAACTCCCCGCCATTGGCAGTTACTCCAAAAACAAGTGGATAAAAACAGCAGCGGTTGGGGGATTGTCTAAAAAAACAGTAAGTCATATCCAATTTATACAAATTCTGAATACTTTTTATATAAAAAAAAGCGTAGGACAGTCAACAAAAAAATTTTCAAAAATCAATGCAAGTTTTTAGACATTTGAAATTTGCACATTATTATACTAAAATTTAATATACTATCAAACTGCATACCTGATTTTTTTTTAGAAATTCTTATTAAAAAGTTTTCGATTTTGCTGAAACTTTGCAGATTTTTCTAAATTTAGTATGTAAAACATTGCGAATATTAACAAAAAATTACCGTACGCTCAATTTTGTGAGTAACAGTAGATAAACTTTATTTGGAAAATTTCAAGTGGGCAAGAATTATCGTTAATTTTTATACAACCTTTTATTTACGTTCTTGCCATATTACATATACAGTCAAAGTCAAAAGACAGCATACACATTGGTCTAATATAATATTCACAATTATTTTCATGAAACAAATTTTTCATAAATTTTTTATGAAAATATAGTTCATTCTTTAACATATGCCATATAAATTGAAGTTTCACACCTTGTATAAAAATCAACAAATTTGTCATCAAATTTTCAATTTTTTAATCAGAATTTTTATAAACTTTTCGGGTAGTCAGTTTTGTAGCCCATTCAATTTCAATAGGCCAATTCATCAAAACGCGTAAATGCCTCGTAACCATGTAAACCTCGTAAACTTACTTAATTTTCTATGGAAAGTCAGTTTATTTACGAAATTTACACGGTTACGCGACTCTTATGCGTTTTGATGAATTGCCCTATTGAAATTGAATGGGCTACAAAACTGACTACCCGAAAAGTTTATAAAAATTCTGATTAAACAATTTAAAATTTGATGACAAATTTGTTGATTTTTATACAAGGTGTGAAACTTCAATTTATATGGTACTGGATCGCCCTCACCCGCTTCGCTGAGTGTATGAAATTTTTTCGTGCTACTTGGGGTAAAATCTATTTCAAGAAAAGTCAATTCAAAAACAGGAGGTTTAAAATTTGTTTAACCATCTTCAAAATATTTTCAAACTATAACTTTCTTAAACTTCTCACTTGTCATACTTTTTCAACTCAATTGAAATTTTAAACAGCGGGAAACCTTTCACATGTAGTTTTGAAATTAAGTCCTTTTAAAATCATTTTGATTGATTCCCATATTGCAATAATTCATTTAAATTATTGAATAGTTTGAATTTAACCTTTTAAACAGTTTGCAACCTTTTTAAACCTCTTTCGTCTAACACTCATATTGTGATACATATTCCAAACCATTTCGATTCATTACCAAAATATATTAATATATTAATATATTATATTATTATTAATATATTATATATTTCAAAATATATTAAACTACAGCTTTTTAAGCCTCTTGACATCCATTTTTTGTTTAAGATAATTTTCAAATAACTCCCTTAATTGAAGTTGAATTCGATTTTTTAAAAGGTGGCAGCCCTCATCCATGAGTAGATAATGATTTTATATATCTCCATGCCAAGTTCCAGTAATCTACCAAAAATATTTCCTGAGAAATATAGTATGAAAAATTCCGTTTGTATGGGAGGTGCCACCCCCTCTTGCCTAATCGAGATTAAATTTATCCTTTATTTTAAGTTGGGCTAAATAACAGCAGTGTACAAAATTTCATAATGATCGGTTGAATAGTTGAAGCGTGAAAGCATGGCAAACAAACAAACTCACTTTCGGATTTATAATATTAAGTAAGGATATGTTAAAGAATGAACTATATTTTCATAAAAAATGTATGAAAAATTTGTTTCATGAAAATAATTGTGAATATTGTATTAGACCAATGTGTATGCTGTCTTTTGACTTTGACTGTATGGAAAACTGGAGAATGTACGGTATGAAAAAAAAGGTCACCTTATTAAACTGTATTAAATTGCTGTTCTGTTTACCCGAAATATTTCAAGAGATCGCAAATAAAATGGGCACGGTTTTCATGAAAATGTTGAAGTAAAACTTCTTTGCGCTCGGTAAATCGAAACGCGAATAACGTCAAAGCTACAGAAGAAGTGATAGGATGGTGACCTTTGTTGGGGAGGATAAGATTAAGGTTGAGATTAAACTTATAACTTATATCAAGACTAAAATTAAGATTTAAATTAAGATTAAGACTAAAATTCAGATTAGGATAATTGATCATTATTAGGCAGAAATGTGTTGAGCTAGTACACTGCATTGCATAAATATAAGACCGCCACATATTGCCAAGTTTTGACTAATTATTTGT